CTAGGTACCCTTCTTCATACCAGGGCTGGCAAACAGTGTAAGTCCTTATTTTGTATCACCTGAACCTTTCGGGCTTTGTGTTAATACAGTTAGAGCCTCCATTTAATAGTTGTAACAGCAATGATCCCTAGTTGATCTCTATGTTATTGTTATTATTATAATTGTTGAAATCGGTGGAAAAAATAAAACGGAATTAACATTAATTACGTCTATAAGTATTTTATAATTATTTGTTGTTTTAAATTCTTTTTTTTTAATGTTTCGGAGAAGATACCATCATCATAAATATCATTCGCAGACAATACAAAGATAAAAACCGCTTGACAAATTGGACGAGATTTTTGAGTGGGCCAGAGGAAAATGAACTGAGATTATTTATTACTTCAATTTCATTTGTACCGAGGGAAATCTGGAATTGGAATACATACGGCAGCGGACCGTTTTACAAATAGGAAATATAATGGCGCTGTTTTGTATATTGCTTTTTGTATTTTATCCAGTCAAAGGAAGTTTAATATGCAAAGTTAATGAGAAAATCGACAGAGGTTTTAGAAAAAGACTATAACTCTGGCGTTACGCTAAATATACACAAGTTATAAAAAATGAAGCCTGACATTTTCGATACGCTCATGGAAATATAGAACAAGTACGTTGGATAGTAGTAATAATTTTATAAAAATTCAGGAAAGTTTTGGGGTTGCATCTAAAGGAACCAGCTCTGCATTTCTGTACATAATGAAAACAAAATAGGTTCTAAGTTTGATCTTTGTGGACGCCCGATGTAGCTGTGATAGCGATGGATCTGAAACCGTTGTACATGACAAATTATGGAGTAAAAAAATAAATAAATAACCAAGGGTAAATATTTTTATAAGCGTAGTTTCTTATTACAAAGGTGTTGAACACAAATGCTGCTCTCCGTGGTGGATTCGCAGATAAAAACTATTGTTACCCTACACCCTGCAGTAGCCTGCGGCCTTTATAATACAAACAATCGCAGCGGCCATATTGCCTGGCAAATATTTATTAATTTGAATCGGTTTAGCAAAAATGTGTTTTAAAACCAATTTTTAGCCTTTAAATATTTAACAAAAAATAATTGCTTACATTTTTACTTCAAGGCATAAGCTTATGTTTATTTTGAAAAATATGGATGATCAATCTATGTAACTATCTATTTCATTAACCTTGTCAAATCACCAGGCCTACCAGGGTTGCCATAATTTTACCATATCATAACCCGTCAAAAGCCACTGGTAGCCATTCAGTTTGGAATGCCTAATTATTTTTTAAAGCTGCTGTATGGAGTGTTTTGCTCGTTTCGCCGTTTACCGTGATTTTACCATTTTCTTTGTGTTTACATAAACCTCAACGAACAAGTTTTGAGGATTTATATATCATTTAATTAATTAATTGATGATTGTATGTTAATTTTTAGTGCTTTGTTGTTCTCTTTTCATTGTCTAAATACCAGGATGTATAGACTACCAGTTTAACATTTAGGAAATATATGTGTTGCCTAACCTAGTAGTAAAGGCACAGTTTATTGCTAAAGAATCAGTTAGCTCACTCGGACCAGTTGAATATTCCAAAATAACATCCACTCCAGGGATACAAATTCAGGATGCGCAGAAGACTGCTGTTTGAATATAGGCGGTTGTCATATATTGTATTATCCGAGTTGCGCAGTGTATAAACTGGAACATTGAGATCAAAAGTGCCGACGCAGAGTGAGCGAATTGATTCTTTAGCTATAAACTGTGGTAAAGGCATCAAAATGGACGCGCCCTATGTTGGGCGTGTCGGACCTCTCTCTTTCACCGTTGTTTTGAAAGTAAACGTATCCGTGAATTTGACATCTGCGCGTGCGTATTAAAATATCCTTCACGTATACGTCTACGTAGATACGTAAACTTACAGGCTTTGCCGTATAGACGTAACGCAAACAAAATAACCTCTTTTTAATTGGAAAAGAAGAAATACCAATATAAATTGTCATTAAATGTCATTATTTGTCATGACACGTAAATGTCACGATGCGTTTAACAACTTCAACTCATATTTTGTACTGCAACGTAAACATTATTTTTTTGCGTTCACGTTTACGTTAACGTACTGGAAACACTTCAAGTAATCAAAGTATGTGATAACGTCTACTATAAAACTGATGTCAGGATCGTCGACTTATAGCGGATTCGACTTAAATGCTCTTGCTCGATGACAAAGCGCTTTCAGTTCTGAATTGATTTTGGGCAGCATTTTTATAATTCAAATTCATATCTAGCAGTGCACACAGCAAGCAGGAGCTAGAGTTCGATAATGGTGTAGCGCATCTTTATCCTTATTCGACTGGCTCAGTTAGCACTTGACATTTCAGGTTTTTAACAATTTTTTAACGATATTTATTTTTGCTAAACCAAAAATTAAATCTCTATTAATTTTAAAGATTTTCCATTCTCACTAATAATAGAGACAAAAATGATAATATATTTAAATATATTAAATAAATCCTAACCTCTAAAATGACACTGGCACTGAAAAAAAGTACAGTTCCAAAAAATTCGAACTTTGAGCAAGAGCGCCTGCCAGTCGAACAAAAATTTCACTATGCCTTAATACTGAGCAATTTCAGTCGAATGCAATAATTGATTTTTAATTAATTAGGTTCTGCCAGTCGAACAAACATCACTTAAAAAAGTCGAACAAATGCGCATTAATGCAGCCAGTCGAATCCGCTATTATACAGCTCGCCTTCCTCTTCTAGAACCTTCTCGAACAATCCGGACTTTTCTTGACAAGGAATGACATTTCAAGACATTTCTCGACTATTTTATCTTCTTTTTTTACTCGTACTTTTATTTATGACGATTGCAGCACACCACACTGCAGTGTGATGGGTGACATTGAACTTCTTTTTGTATTTGTACGTTTTCTATAACGTCCGCAGGCTACTGCAGGGTGTAGGGTAACACTATTTTACAATAAATTTCTAGACGCCATTAATCTTTGACTCTATTTAATGACTAGAAACGACTAGAGCCATTTAAATTTCTATTACACGTAATTACTATCATCAGGCTCCCAGCTAGAAGTTAGCGAAGGTGGCGGGTGAAGGACTTTAGTCGTAACACGGATACGTTTTACATGATTTCAATTAAGGAAGCTGAAGGTGACGTGTGTAACGTAATTATGTCAAAGGGGAGTGTTGCGTAAATCACTAACGTTGAGCATTTTTGAAGTAGATACCTCAAGATTACCAACTTACTTCACTTCATTAGAAGAATAGTTCAAGATCATCGAAGATTATCCTTTACATTTATTGAAATACACACCACTGTATTTTAGATTGAAATAGATGTATATCCACCTTTCCCATTATTTGACATTAGGTACTCATGCGCGAAAAATATACAGGATTTTTGAATCTAATAATTTTCGTAACAACTTTTTTCCATCTCTATCTTATTCCCTTGGAGCAAACCTTGAAATTAAAATCAAAAACGACGGATAATTTTTCGTTTTTATGTAAATTTGCTGTTCTTCATTTGAGTTAGAAGGCGCTGCACGACCTTGCCCTACTGATTATACCATTTTTTTTATAAATTGTAGAACATTACTTTATTACTAATTAAAGATAAGATATTTTTTAGTAAGTTTAAAAATTTAAACAATAGGTATATTGATTTTTTATTAGCAATTAGCACTTACTGATTAAAAAAGAACTGCAATATTGACATGACATTTAAGAACAATCCCTGCATAAAGATATTGAGTGTACAAAAATAAATTTCTTTAATATTAAAAACATCACCCATAAATAAACAAAATATATTTTTCTTAGTGTACTTTCATATAAAAATCATAGCAGGTGCCATTTCTTAAGAATCAACGATTTTTATTTTTTTTAATATCCTTCCAAAGCTCTATAGAATCTGAAATTAAAGATAAACTCATTATCCAAATAGGAAAATCTCCGTTAAATCATCTTTATCGACAACCATAACCTTTAAATCCGATCCATGATTCGTGACAAACTTAAAAAAAAAGAAATGGAATGAAAGAAAGCAATATTTCTCCTCTGTAGCCGGTTAATCGCAAAGGAAATTGTCGTTTTTATAGCAATTTCCACGATTCCTCTTCGACGGTTTTCTTTTCACGATGAAAACTCCGGATTGTGTATCGGAGGAAAATATAAATTTCCACTGCTAAGACGCGAAAATTCTTATCAACTATTCGAGAAATATTTAATCGAGAAAATTGTTTTCCGTAGACGGATAAAATAATTTACGATTATTGGAAAATGCGAATAAAGATCATCGGAATAGCTGAACTATTCATTAAATTCCTGACAAATTTAATTAATAACAATATTTTTTCTTTTAGAATTATTTAATTCTTAATTTGTATTTTCTCGCCTATTATCTATTTTTGAAACAAAATAGTACCTAGATCTAGATTAAAAAAAACATATCAAATGGAAAAAAAAGTATGTTGTGATGCTACCATACATTCTTATTTTGGTTTGAATTTGAATATTGCAGCATTTATTTGTTTAAAACAGTTTATTATTTATAATTTATTTACACTAAATACTAATTCATTCATTTATACTTAAGCACTATTTATATTTCTAATTTTTATAAATATTCTTTGGAAATAGGACAAGTGATGTCTTAAAAGTCAAAACAAGGCAGAGAGAAACTTAAAGAATTGAAGCATGACCAGATTCATCGAAAATGACTCGAATTACAATATTGTTGTTTTAAAAATTCATGTATTCATAACGAGGTTGAATTATTAGAAGAAAACAAAGTCTGCTCTGCAATCTTATTAGACGGAGACAATTAGGTTAGAATTAAATTAAAGGTTCAATAGCCTCTCCTGTTTCTTGTTGGCTTTAATCTAAGGACTGCACTGCTTCTTTTAAATCATTTTATTTTAAAATATTTTCGAGATCATGCAGCATTGTTTTTTCTAAACATTTCTACGTTTCATTGCAGGTGTCGAGCCCCGATAGCCAGCCTGGACTGCATGGAGGAGTTCAGCGCTGGCAGTGCCCTTAGCGCTTTAGCGGACCGCGGCGGACCCGGTGAGTCCACCATCACGAAGGAACAACTGCTGCTCAGCGGACTCACGCACTCCGCTCCAGGAGTACCGCTTCAGTTGGCCAGACAGGCGTGCGTTACACCAGGACTGAGATACCGGAATCTGGGGAAAAGCGGCTTGAGAGTGTCCAATATTGGACTCGGTAAGTATATTTTGTAGCAGTAAATATAGGATAGTGAAGCCGTTAAGTCATTAACACGTTCCCTGCCAATGTATTATGAGCGATTTGGTCGCTCAGCGCCAAAATGTTTTTTCATTGCTAAGTGATGAACTAAACTAAAATATTTGTATTTTAATATCATACGCTATCGATAATTAAATGTATCCAATATTTAGAGCTTTCGGTCAAAATGACCGACGCGGCGTAGCGCAGTTAACTTGATCGTGCTGAGCCGGGTCGGTCACGGCTTCGGTCACCTAAAAGCTCCGTGTTTTTGAGCTTGAATATTGTTTGCGTGGTCAGAGGAGTGGGGTTCGCGACGTTTTCGATAATTGTGACTTGTTTTAGTACGTTATAAGTTGCCAGGCAGACTACACGATTTTTAGTTTCGTACGTACGTAAAACAGTTTTTATTTTATTGAAATTTAGTTCGCTTATTTTTGCAATATGCCTAAACGAAAACTTGCGTTTATTCGTGATGATAAAAATCTTACGGAATCAGAAATGATGCAAATGTTTGATATGTCTGACGAAGATACTGATGACTCGGTTGAAGACAGAAATTTTGTACCCAGTTCAGAAGGTAAGATACCAACAATATGCCAGTATAAATAAATATTATAAAGTCCTGTAAATTCGCTAATAAAATTGTTTAACTTTTCAGGCGAATCGTCTTGCAGTCAATCGTCAGGGGATCACCCACAAGAAAAACGTAAAAAGTCTGGTGTGATAATGGCTTCCAAAAGCTCCAGTGCCAGTACTTCAGATTTGTCTGTACCCAGTACATCATTCAGAAAAATAAACAGTAACAACAATCAATTTGCACAGAACCGGAACATCCCTTCAGATTCTTCAGAAGACGATCTCAGTAGAGAATATATGCAAGTACAACGTGGAAATAATGATTCCTGGTACTTACCTCGCCGCCAACAGATTCAGTTTGGAAATTTTCGAGAATATTTTGGAGTGAGCCCGGCAGTAATTGGAGAATTAGTACAGGGCAAACCTGGAGATTTTTACATGGCAGTTGTTGATAATTCTATTTTCAAAATGATTGCTGATCAAACCAATATCTACGCTACTCAGAAGATAGAAAATAGTTCAAACGTCTCTGCCTCCTCACGACTTCATCAGTGGGATCCTACAAGTTCTGCGGAAATGAAGCGGTTCTTTGGATTAATTGTTTACATGGGATTAGTAAAAATGCCATTTTTGAAAGATTATTGGAGCAGAGATCCCATTTTCAAAAACGAGTTTGCACCCAAAGTGATGTCTCGAAATAGATTTGAAATTCTATTGCGTATGATTCATTTTGCCAACAATGATGAATGCAGAGAAGGAGACAGATTACATAAAATTCAAGGTCTTGTCGATAGACTTGTGCAGAATTTTGAGGCTCTTTATCATCCGGGAGAAACAGTATGTGTTGACGAGTCGTTAATTCCTTTTAGAGGTAGGCTAATTATGCGTCAATATATGAAACAAAAGCGCCATAAATATGGTATCAAGCTGTTCAAGCTATGTTCCGGACATGGGTATACACTACGTCTAAAAATATATGCTGGAAAAAACCTTGAAGTGAGAAAGACAACACCAACAAGCGTGGTGATGGAATTATGCGAATCTGTCTTAAATGTAGGACGTACTGTGTATACTGACAACTGGTACACTAATATGGATCTTGCTAACCAGCTTTTAGATAAAAGAACACACTTAGTCGGAACACTGAGAAAAAATAAAACAAATGTGCCGAAAGAAGTTACCCAAAAACACAACATGAAAAAAGGTGAAATGATTGCAAAAGAAAATGGCAGAGGAATCACCGTTCTTAATTGGAAGGACAAAAGAAACGTTATTATGTTATCAACCAAACACTCGAATGAAACCGTTGAAATAACTAAAAGGAATGGTGAAAATATTATTAAACCTACCGTTGTAATTGACTATAATAAGGCAAAATCTTCTGTGGATTTATCGGACCAAATGGCATCCTACTCTTCACCTCTTCGAAAATCTGTAAAGTGGTATAAAAAATTGGCAATTGAGTTACTGCTATCAACAGCTGTGGTCAATGCCCATATTTTATACAAAGAATGCACGGGCAACACTATAGGTATTGTTGATTTTCGAAAAGAAGTAGTCCGACATTTAATTTCAAGCGACGACGAGCAACATCAACAACAGGCAAGAATAGAACAAGAGAGACCACGAAGAGTCCGCCATAATTTGTTAAAAAAAGAAGGAAGAGCCGTTGCAGTAAGAAAACATTGCAAGGGTTGCTATGAAAAAGCAGTCCAAGATGGAAAAGAGCCTAGGGAAAGAAGGAAGGTAAAGAAAGTGACCACGTTCTGTTCGGGATGTCTGAATGAACCATTCCTATGCCTGGAGTGCTACAACAGAATTCACAAAAATATTTAAATATTTATAAAAACCCTTTCATTTTAGATTATATCATTACTTTTGTAGTTATTTTAATATTATATATTAAACAATACATTTTATTATTAAAACAATGTGTTTAGCTAACCAATTAAAAAAAAAGGTAAAATAATTTAAAAAAAAGGTAAAATAATTAAAAAATCAAAAAAGTTTTTATGTGCTTTTTGCTCTCCAGGCCGTTTCGGTCACGCCCTATGCACAGCATCGTATAGCTTGTGACCGGCGGCGCTCTAGAAGCACGCAAAGGATCGACTGATTTTTCGGTCATAATGACCGACGCGGCCTGATACGGTATAACACGTTTCGGTCATTTTGACCGACTTGGCAAGGAACGTGTTAAGATATTATTTTTGCAATCAACAAACTAGCCGCTAAAATCACCTCCGGTGAGGATGGTATACCCAGTTTTTTAATTAAAGATTGTAGAAATATTTTTATAAAACCCCTTAAGTTTATTTTTAATATGTCATTAAAAACTTCTATATTTCCAGATAAATTTAAAATCGCACGTGTATGTCCAATTCTCAAGTCAGGAGATCCATCTCTATTTAATAACTATCGCCCTATTTCAGTTTTAAATAATTTTGCTAAGATTTTCGAAATTTGTATTTATAATAAAATTTACCCTCTAACTAAATGTTTAATATCGGTACATCAGCATGGTTTTATGGAAAATCGTTCTACTGTTTCTAATTTATCATCTTTTTCTCAGTTTTTACATGAGACTTTAGATAATTGTGGTCAAGTAGATGTAGTTTTAACAGATTTCGAAAAAGCTTTTGATAAAATCGACCCAAAAGTAATCGTTAACAAGTTAGATCAATTTGGATTTTCATCAGCAATGAAAACATTCTTCCACTCATACTTATCTTGTCGACAACAATTTGTTTCTTATAATGGGTTTTCATCAAATTTATTTTATGCTACCTCAGGGGTTCCTCAAGGGTCCAATATGGGTCCTCTACTTTTCTTGTATTTCATCAATGATGTCACTGATCATATCGCTTGTTCCAAATTGTTATTTGCAGATGATTTAAAAGTATTTCTTGAAATTTCTGATATACATGATTGTTTATTCCTTCAAGAACAATTAAATAATTTATATGATTGGTGTAAGCGCAATAAATTGTTTCTGAACGTACGAAAATGCAAAGCTATAAGTTTTAGCAGAAAAGTCAACACAACAAATTTTAATTATACCATTAATAATGAAGAACTAGTCAGGTGTGATCAAACTAAAGATCTAGGTGTTATATTTGATTCGGAGCTAACTTTTAGTGTACATGTTAATACTATTACTAAATCTGCAAATAAAATGTTAGGATTTTTATTTCGCAATTGTCAAAAGTTTAGAACCGAAGCTGCCTTAAAGTCACTGTAGTTTTCATTAGTTCGTTCCAAGTTGGAATATGCTTCTTTGATTTGGTATCCGAAGACAGAGTTGCAGAAGAACAGCATTGAAAGGGTGCAACGCAAATTTTTAAAGTTTTTAAATTACAAGGTTAGGGGTATCTATCCCCCCCACGGATTTGATGAAAATGTGTTGCGTAATGGATATAATATACAATCCCTTAAAAATAGAAGAAAATTAATGTCAATTTCTACAATTTATAAAATAATTCATAATATAATTGATTGTTCTATTCTACTAGAAGGACTTTACTTTTTAGTAACACGACAAAATGCACGGACATTCAACACGTTTTCTCTTCCTATTCCCAGGACTAACCTGCTAATGAAATCACCAATATATATTATGTGCCAAAATGTTAATATTTTATGTTTGAATTGTGATATATTTTTTGAAAAACTTGCACATGTTTTGCGCATAGTCACCCTCAATTTTTAATTTTAATTTTTGCTTTAAGCTTTATATTCATTTTGTTATTATTATTTATTACCATCTTAGTACTTATTTCTGAATTGTAATATACATTTTTTTTCTTTGAAAAACTTGAATTGAACATGTTTTGCGCAGGGTCAATTTAATTTATAATTTTTATTTTCACTTTTTTTTTTAGCTTTATATATATATATATTTTGTTATTAGTATTTATTTTAGTACTTATTAATATTTACTCTTAAAAATCTATTGTTATATTTTGTCCTATCTTTGGATGTTATATCTGTTGGGCAATAAAGAATTTATTTATTTATTTATTTATCAGTTAAGGTTGCCAGGTGGCCAGGAGCCGGAGTATCTCCGAATTTAGATTTCAATTCTAAGCTTCTGTAATTAACGAATTTTCTCCCGGAAGTACTAAATCTTAATTTAATTTCGTTTAAAACTAAAAATTTTACCAAAAACCGATATTACCAAAGAACTTTGATTTATTTCTATTAAATAAACTTTTAGATCATTATGTATGATCTAAAATTCTATCTACATACTTTACTTATTTCGTTGTTAATTATTTTTTTTTTTTCAGGTACGTGGCCAACTTTTAGCCCAAGTTTGACAGAAGAGCAAGCGGAACAAATCATCGTATTAGCTGTAGAAAGTGGAATTAATGTTTTTGATTTGTCAGAGGCTCATTCAGGTTGGCAAAACAATATTATTAGAAAAAATTCAATGCCTAGTATTTCCTCAATAAAAAATTGTAAAGTTTTATGAATTAAATTAAGTTAAAAACACAATTTAATATTCCGCAAGGAACCGTTTAAGAGCTGATAAAATATTTTAATTTAAAGGTACGAGAGCAGAAGTCGAATTAGGAAGAATTTTGTCTAGGAAAGGTTGGAAAAGGACCAGCTATATCGTTACTACGAAAATATATTGGAGTACGAGGTAAGTAAAAAATATTTTAATAGTCACTAATATGAAATAAAAAAAAAAGAATAGTTAGTGAGATACTAAACATGAACTGTGTATTTTATATAAATAAAATGAATTTGCGCATTTAGTGAAAATTATTTTTGAGCACCCAAAGTGTAAACAATTTTATTAAAAAATTGAAAAAATATTTCCTGGGAAGGATTCGAATCCTCCACATTCTCGTTATACATATACTGCCTTACTAACTCGGCTATTAGGAATTCGGAATATTAGATTCGAATTTTTTTCTTCTTCTTTCGTCCCTTCCATTTTTTGAGTTATGTTACTACAAACAATTTACCTAGGTAAAATTGATTTGCAGTAACACGAAGTATAGTATAGATATAAGGAGTCCGAACGTAATGTTGAATGAATGGCATCAATGGGCCCGTTCACTTTCATTTTTGAATGTGAATTATTTATATATTTATAAAGATATTAAACTCTTTTGTCTGGTGGTACTTTTCCCGTTAAGATATTTTTGCTAGAAGTAAGGGAATTCCCATAAAATTCTTTCAGTGACTCATTGCGTCAGAAAACCCCTAATTCCCTTCAGGTCTCGTATCGGTTAATAGTTAAAAGGGCGCGGTTGTCGGATGTATCATTGCACCACCATTCCTCTTCTGCATTTATTAAAGAAATTTACATGATAAAAATATATTATTTTTTAAAAATAATGTGTTTATATTTTCAGATAAAGCTGGAAGCCCTACCTTTTTTAAATTTTAATAAAAACAATTAGTATTACTCAAGCTGAATATTACCAGATCGAAATTTTATTTGAGAAAATGTATCTGGTAAACGTGACAACGTTGTAAGTACTTCTAAATAGTGTTGTCTACACACACTTCTAGAAATAAATGCAACGTTGCCACGTTTACCAGATAAATATTGCAAATCAAATTTCTACTTTTTGATTATGGTCTGGTTAATTTTCAGCCTGAGTAATAATAATTGTTTTAATTAAAAAGTAAAAAATAAGCTCCAGCTTTAAATCTGAAAATATAAGTTCATGATGTTTAGAAAAATAATGGAATTTTACTATTTAAATTACATATATAAATGCAGAAATGCTATATTAGGGATACTTCCGACAACCCCGCCGTCTTTAAGCATAACCGATACGAGACGTGAACGGAATTAGGGATTTTCTGACGCAATGAGTCACTGAAAGAATTTTATGGGAATTCCCTTACTTCTAGCAAAAATATCTTCACGGGAAAAGTACCACCAGACAAAAGAGTTTCATATCTTTATAAATATATAATTAATTCACATTCAAAAATGAAAGTGAACGGGCCCATTTGGGGAGACAGACTTATTGCCGGTAGGGCGCGCCACTTTTGAAGAAGTACTCGTTTAATTAATTATTATTTGAAAATTAAACAAATTTATTAATCAAGCATTTGTTAAAAATAAATTTTTAATATTATTTAGAGGTTACTCACTTCCGGTGCGTGTGCAGTAGTTTGTTATCACTACTAGATGTTGAATTTAAATATATTTTAAAATTTGGACAGGGTGATGATTCTTTTATCATCCAAGTTTATTTATTGATGGAACTGATCTGACTTCTCCATACTCGCAAAATGTATAATCTTTAATTCTGATTTGAAACAGATAAAATGTGGTTAGACAACGGCCAGTTATGTACAGTGGCGGCTCGTGGGCACTAGCGGCAGTGAGGCACACACTGGAAAGGAATCCCGGAATTCGTTTTTCCCTTAGGAAAACAAGTTCTCCGCTTAATGAAAATTATTAGGGCAATAATGATTTCTAAATGTAACTACAGGGAGCTAAATGTGACAACTCAAAATTCATTTAACTATGTACTATGTATGTGGCTATTTAATCAAAAAATCATTACATATCAACTCTTACGAAATTTGCGTAAATTTCTCAGAAGAATGCAATTTACTTAACAATTCTAACTTGTTAACGCATTTTAAAGCATACGACTCTGAAGAAAAGGTGTTTGGCAATTTAAAATCTCCCAGCGAAAAATTTCTTTTATATTTTCAAATTAGAAAAAATATTTATATCTCTATTTTTATACTCTTAAATATGCAAACAGAGATTTGAAATCCTCGAAAAAGTCAGACAAAACAAAAAGAAAAATTAAAATTTTGTCCCATTTATAAATATTATTGATTTTTTTTCATCATATTTTTGACTGCTTCATAAAAAAAAGTTATTTTTCTTTGTAGTTTTATTTCTTAACTATTCCAATGGTCCAACTAACGTTTTTTCGTAATCACAATAAATAAATTATTATTATTATTATGGTCCAACAAACGCTTAAGGTGCGCAAAACCGGCATCGCCTTTGTGAGGGAGCCGGTAAAGATGCCGCTGCGTACATTCGTATCTGGTCTAGGCCACATACTTTGATTTTCTTTTACTATACGGAGAATGGTCGCACTGCGCAGCTTTCTGAGTGCCTTTTAAAAGGAGATAGAAAACTCCGCCATTTTGAACCCTTAGTACGTGTTGCCTACATCTTGGCGCAATATTTCTAATAGGTGCGTTTTGATTATCCGCTTCTGCTTCGGAATTGTCAGTTTTCTTGTTTCAATCTGACAGGTTAAAACGACTAAACCGACAATTCCGGAAGCAGAAGCGGATGATTAAAACGCACCTGATATTTTGCTTGCTGCTGTCAGTGTCAGTGAATATTATTTTTGAAGTCACAGTTTATTGCTAAAGAATCAGCTCACTCGGACCAGTTGAAAGTTTCAAAATAACATCCACTCCGGGGATACAAATTCAGGATACGCAGAAGACTGCTGTTTTATTATAAGCGGTTGTCATATATTGTAGTATCTGAGTTGCGCAGTGTATAAACTGGATCATTGAGATAAAAAGTGCCGACGCAGAGTGAGCGATCTGATTCTTTAGCTATAAACTGTGTCATAGGGTTCAAAATGGCCGCGCCCTATGTTGGGCGTGTCGGACCTCTCTCTTGCCCCGTATAGTAATCAAAGTATGTGGGTCTAGGCACATACTTTGATTACTTGATTACTATACGAGGCAAGAGAGAGGTCTGACACGCCCAACATAGGGCGCGGCCATTTTGAACCCTGTGACACAGTTTACAGCTAAAGAATCAGATCGCTCACTCTGCGTCAGCACTTTTGATCTCAATGTTTCAGTTTATACACTGTGCAAATCGGATAATACAATATATGACAACCGCCTATAATAAAACAGCAGCCTGAATTTGTATCCCTGGAGTGGATGTTATTTTGGAACTTTCAACTGGTCCTAGTGAGCTAACTGATTCTTTAGCAATAAACTGTGACTTCAAAAATAATATTCACTGACACTGACAGCAGCAAGCAAAATATCAGGTGCGTTTTAATCATCCGCTTCTGCTTCCGGAATTGTCGGTTTAGTCGTTTTAACCTGTCAGATTAAAACAAGAAAACCGACAATTCCGAAGCAGAAACGGATGATTAAAACGCACCTATTAAAAATATTGCGTCAAGATGTAGGCAACACGTAATAAGGGTTCAAAATGGCGGAGTTTTCTACCTCCTTTTAAAAGGCACTCAGAAAGCTGCGCAGTGCGACCATTCTCCGTATAGTAAAAGAAAATCAAAGTATGTGGGTCTAGGTAATCTGTGCCATGTGACAACGCCCGCCCCGCTTGTGACGTATAATCCATCGCATGTGTTCATCTATTGCTAAGCGATATTGTCGTTGTCCTTGTTTTTCGCATCATAATGAGAGAGAAAACAACAGAGGCACACATTTACTGTGCCCTGTGCCCACTGAATTTCGGAATAGATGATTTCAACGGAAGACATCTTGAAGTTGCAAGGTCATTGGAAGATATTTGCGCCATCTATAAGTTTACATAACAACTAATAAAATAAAAAAGAAAACTGTAAATTATTATTTTGGCAATCTGTCTAAAGTTACGGCGGCGTCAGCATAAATTTCTTCTTTTCTTCTTTAGTTGTATGGGCTCAGTTTTCACTCTCACTATCGCCAAGATCTGTAATCTAGATCTACATGGCTTGCTAAGCGTGCGTTAGGTCTCTATGGCTGATTTTTGTTAAATTAAAATCTTTTTTAATGGGTGTCGGCTGCATTACCCAACAAAACGGTTTGAATTTTTTTCAGTATTTTTGTTTACAATGAAGATATAAAAAATGTTTCGAGTAATATGTGTATGTAAAATGAATATTATTTAATTCATCCTCTAAAACCTTACAGGGGTGTACAATAGTTTGTATATAGTAACCAAAATATACGAAATAATCTACATAGGTATATGTCTGTATAGAAAAGCATCAGTTGGTATGGACTTACCTTATTAGGTGTTAGGGTATTTGAAAGAAAAGTTTCATACAATGTGTCCAATTTAAGTCGGCGCGCCATATATGGGAAACTTTTTTATTATTAGTTTTATAGGAAAAAGGTATTCTTTATAAAAAGTTCTGCATGGTTTAAAGTTGAAAATACAACCATCAGATATTAAATTCTACATACATCTATTCACTTTGAAATATAAAGTAGTAAACAAAAGGTGCTTTTCATCATTTTCTTTGTGTTTCTAAGCTAGTATTTTGAAAATAAATGCAAAAATAATTCAGAAACAAAACCAGAGATTGTAACCTCAATTTGTTTTATGTTTTTACAAATTTTGACATGACACATGACTAAGAAAAAGAAGACTATGGATGTAGATAGAAATGGTGAAAAACTGAGCACATACAACTAAAGAAGAAGACAAAGAAAAAAATGAATACCGACGCCATAACCTTAAACAAATTGCCAAAATAATAATTTAGTTTACTTTTTTATTGTATTAGTTGTTATGTAAACTTATAGATGGCGCAAAGATCTTCCAATGACCTTGCAACTTCAAGATGTCTTCCGTTGAAATCATCTATTCTCGGAACGTCGCTCAACGCCCGGTCGTCCAGTGTCGTGCCAACGCGGTTTGCGCTGAATATTAGATAAAATAATAATACACATTGAGGAAAATATAAAATATATAAGTTATTTTTTTAGAAATAAAAAACGGTGACAGAATAATTTAAATTTTTTAACAAACCACTAGCACAGCATCATCTAAGGAAACATGCCTGATGCATGGAGGTCCTCCCTTAAATCTTCTGTTTATGTTAGGTTTGCGATTGCTAGGAATTTATTGTGTTCTGTATTTATAACGTCTAAACAAACATAGCAACTTAATTTTAATCCTATTTAGAAAGATATAACTAATCATCAGAAAAAAGATGGCGATCCGATATTTTGTATCATATTAGTAGAACTAATTTGGTTATTTTTCGTAAGTTTTACCCCATTTTTGTTGAATTTCAGGTCAGAAGAACGAGGACTATCCCGTAAACACATCATTGAAAGCGTAAAAGCAAGTTTAGTGAGACTTCAACTGTCCTATATAGATGTCGTTATAGTGCACAAAGCGGATCCGATGTGTCCCATGGAAGGTAAATATCCAGTTTTTTTTTTCTCATCGATCATTCTCTATTATTATCAGAGAATAACTAAAAAGCGGAAGAGCACAAGGTATCCCTGCGATAAATGAATTCCACTATACAGTGCAGGCGTTAAAACAGAGAAAATTTTGCTTATTATTCTGTGTAAGAAATATTTCGTATATTACATATACGAATGCATAAAAAAATTGGTACGTTTATCAATTACTAATTTTAATAAATATTTCGTACGTTGTTAGTCATTAGATGCACATCTTACAGAAAAGTGGCGACCTGTCAAATACTATACATTTTTAATATGTTATAGTTCTCGAATACTATTACTCTTTATAAATAATCCCAAGATAAAAGGAATGAAAAAAATACGTATTTTTCTTAAATAATAAAATATAAGGCAGGACAGGTAAAAAAACAATTTTTCGGATTGGTGATATTAAAAATTTTCCTATTTGCATTTCAATAGTGTATTTTTGAACCTTAGAAAAAATTCTGTCGACGCCTATGGCTATACTACCAATTATGCTATCATAATATTTGTAGGACAAAGAAAAAATTTCCATTATTCTATTTTGTAAAGAAATAAAGGCGCATTCTTAAAATAATTACCCTCAAAAATTTCTGAACAAGATTTAAAGATAATGGCATATCTGCAGCTAAATAAACAACATGCCCGCAAAAAGCAACTGCGGGTGCCTTTATACAAGGCTTAAACTTCAAAGATTTTATTTACCGAGGTATTTCTTAATTCAATTGCAATGCCAACTTTATAACCTTTACTAAATTAACAGGGCCGGCCTCTAAGAGCGAGAGAAGCAGAAATACTAATGGAATACATACAGATAGTAACACTATTGTTAAATATTTTTTTCTTAAGGCAAATTATTATCCACTGATAACATTATATAATATATTAAAAAAAACTTTTTACTCCAATAAATATTTGGTTTTTAAAATTTACTTGATACATTTTAAGAGCCAATAACCAGCGCACACCCACCAAATAAAAAATTACTTTACTAACTTAATAACTTTTAAAATAACAATATTTTAGGTTGAATTACTGTGATATTGCTTTATTATAAAAAAAATATAAATATAAAATTGACCGATTTATTCCGAATAAACGAAATTTTCTACTTTAAAACACATTCTGTCTTTGTTTATGGTACAATTTTAACCAAATTTTAGGAGTGGTATAGGTTCCATAACCTTAAGAAGGCATGCATTTTTTATATTACTTTTACTTTCCCCCAAAATTTTATTAAAATTATGATATTATCGTCACCTCTACTCCTCCAAGACATACCGTTAAAAACAAAAAAAAACAATACCTAAACTAGACCTAGATTTAACATTAGAGGCCAAGATACTTCTGGGTGAATATAACCAGAAAAGATCGGAAGCCTGCATCTGCCTGAGCAAGAACAGGCTACGTATTGTAACAGGGATCCTTACCGGGCATTGCCAAATAAAAGGACACCTAAGTAAACTGAGAGTAGTAGAGGATAGTGAGTGCAGATTCTGTTAAGAGGAGGACGAAACCTCCATTCACATCCTAACTGAATCTGTAGCACTCCAGAATCCAAGGGCACTATATCTAGGAGGATATCAAATAGAAGAGGGAGATTTACCTAACTTGAAGCCACTTCAAATCCTACACTTCCTTGAGAAAATAGGATTGGAAGGGTCGCTATAGGCATTGAGACATTTCCTTAGTGCAGTGGCGACAGAAGGGGGCACAATAGATCTTTTAGGTCGCAGTGTATTAACACCCCATTCTCAACATAACATACCCTACAAGGGGATATCCCCACGCTTTACTAATATCTAGATTCAATCTTTCAGAGCTCATGATACGCAGAAATTTCCAACAGTTACTCCTACTTTATAATCTTTTAAATGGCTCAGTCGATATAGTATTGATTCATTAAATTGCGTTAATCTAAAAATCCCCCGTGCCGGTTTAAGAGTTTACTTGAGTTTCTACATGCCAACTTCTAGAACTAATGTTTTAAACTCATCTCCAATGTACCAATCTATTCAAAAATATCATTAAATTTAAAACAGCTTGGACATTTTTGCATGTAAAAAATATATGATTAAAAATGTTTTTTTTTAACAATGTAAAAAAAATTATATAAAGCATGTAATGCAATGTAGACAACTATTTGTTTTAATCCTGTGTTCGGTCATTTTTTTTCTGGATGTTTACATTGTATTGTATAACTTTTTAACAATTTTGTATTCGTATTTATATTCTAATGTTTTGTCTTTCCCACCCAGTAAATGGTGATTATTGTTGGGTGGTGTAACAAATAAGTAAATAAAATAAATAATTAAAATGTGACCATCCCGTCAGCCGTGAAAAACTAACGATTAATAATTATTTTTAGTATTAAAACAACTTTATAAGAAACTTGCAAGAGAAATAAAAATATGAATTATTCATAAATTCAAATACGTTGCAATAATTTATTTACAGAATAAGCTAAATTTCAATAAAAAAACATACCTTTTGAATCTGCTCATATATCCTAAAAAAAACAAACCATTTCAATAGAAATAAAAAATTAGGATACTTTGTAACAATTTTTTTACAAAAAATGATATATTTAAATTAAAACACTCACCATTTGAATCTGCTCATTCCTCCTCTCTCTGTCCCATTGGTTGTTCCAGTATTTATTTCCATTACTCCATATTTTCCATTATTTCCAGTAGATTTCCCGATTAAAACGCGACCGGAAAAATCTTCTATTCACGACAACATTAATGATTATCGTATCATATTCAATTCTATAACAGCCCTTCGATACGTAGATATATCTCCGGCCAGTATATCTGCAGCCTTGTCTATTTCATTCTGGAAGGTACATCCCAAGACAGTATAATGTAAATCAAAGATCAACATTAAACATCAAAGGACATACATTCTAAGATGAAACATCTTTATTGTTAGAAGTGAAATGAACACGAACTCAAACCATTGATATCGTACTACCGACTAAAGCTCTCTTTCCACTACATCGTACCATACCATGACCATAACAGGAACGTATCAGGCACCAAAGAAAGCACTCCGGTCACTAATGGGCCCACTGCAGCGAACCAACAGCGTTTTTTCCTCACATACAACATAGCTTGTAATGGACGGTGCATGTCGGTACCTGCAAAATATTCTCGCTGTGAAATTGTTGACGGTCCTATCATGGCACGCTACGATGTTGGCCGGTGACGGAACGGTCTAGTGGGCGTTGTCGCATTATATCAAAACATTCAAATAATATTTGTTTGTATGTGTCGATACGGTTGCGGTCCTAGTATGGTAAGGTGTAATGGGCAGAGACCTTTACTCGAAATATTTGCGGCGATTTAAATTTTTTTTCGGAAACGCTGAAATAAAGAAAAAACAAAATTAATAACAAGTTTTGAATATGTCGAAAGGAGAGGATATTTATTGAATTGAAAAAACCTTTTAAGGTGTATTTTCAACAGCCTATTTTACGTTCTATTTAATGGACTAAACCCAAGTTTTTGATCATGTTCATAGGTGGGTAAATTAGGGGGAGCTAAGGGTAAAATTGCCCTAAGTTTTGTTTGTTAGCAGTTTTTAACATTTTTGATTATAAAATTTAAAAAAACAATGTTTTCTTTATAATAAAGCTACTATTGTTGCATCTCGTTAGGACGCACCATTTTCAACAGAAAAGCATTTGAAAATTTCATGATAAGTTGATGTTATCTTATTCGAAAGTGTAAACAACAATTAGTAGGTCTGTGGAATCAGAAATTTTATTTTTTTTAACTTTGGAAAACCGGTGACTAAAGAATTTTTAGAAAATATTATATCTTCCTTTGTCGCAGGAAATTCAAGCAAATATGTCGTTTCATCGTCAGTTATAATCGAGAGTGCATACAAAATTATGATTTTTGCAGTTTGTCCAAATTTTTCGACTTTCCTTTGCAATTGCCCTGAATTTTTTTCCTAAAAACTTTTCCACGACCATAATGAATGAAACAAAAAACGAATTAGGAGTGACGATAGCCGTATATGAATGGTCGGGATTGAGTACAAGGGTGTAAAAAAAGGTCCTTTTATTTCTCACTAAATCAATTTTGATTGGCGACCGGTTTAGAAATTATTACTTCATTATCAGGAACACCTAAATTGAAGGTCATGAACTCAAAGTATTGAGAAGTGGAAAAAAATTATTAAAAATATGAAAATTGAGCAAAAAATTAAACATTCAAACGTCAAAGAGGAGGATTGATAATAATTTGACTTACTGTGACATATCCATTACGGATAAGCTACGTATTTTAACATATACAGGGTATCTAAATAACACCGAAAAAATTAAAGGGGTGATTCTGTGATGAAAATTAATGTGAGTGTTTGGTATAAAATTTTTTGAAAAAACCTTCCCCGGAAAAGTTACACCCCTTCGAAAATTAAAAAAAATAATGGTTTTTCTTTTTTATTTTCCCTGTATATCAAGCTAAGGACACGAAACTTGGTAAACATTATCTGTCAATAAAAGTACACTTTTTAAAATTTTTTCAACCCTGAAGTATGCTTAGAAGGGGTTGAAATAATCAACCCCTAAGATATTTTTTCTTACAACTTTTTTTTAGATGAAAATTTTTTCTTTAAAAAAGTATGACTGAAAAGCCCAATTCATTGACTAACTTTTTTAACTCTACAACTTGAGCATTTACGAGAAAAAAATCTAATGCAATGCATTTTCAAAAAGATGAGCTAACGCGAGTGTATTTTGCGTCAAGTCTAGTGAGTGGCATGTGCTTTGCATAAAAACATTAATACTGATACCAGGATTGTGTAGTGTCATTTTCTGTTACCCATTTTATTGTTTCACAAGTTTTATGATTGTGTATTGTAGGAAATATTAGTTGATTGAAAATATGAATGCATATTCGAATTTGGAAATGGCAGATATGCATTTTACATACGGTCGTGCTAACGGTAATTC